AGGGACGACGTACATTTTTCGTCATATTCGACGTATATTAAATTATTGTATCTCCTGTGTCGCTAAATATTTTTATACGTTTATTTATTTGTTTTATTTTCCTCTTTTCTCTTAAATCGCATATGTAACGTACACTGGTTCCTCCTAATTTATTTTAAATATGAAGAAAAAATCAAGTTAAAATAAATTTTAAAAAACTGATAAACTACACCTTTATTAGTAAGTACGCGTCTTTTAAGTTTGAAATATATCTACGGTGTATGAAAATATTGTATGACCATTTTTTCCATTGAACCCTCTGATTCTAGTCAAAGTTAGTTGTCATTTGTTCATCTGACTTTATGATACAATAGTTAAGTTGATAACCAAAAGCCAGAAATCAATAAGGCTTGATAAGTAAAGAAATAAACCACAAATGGCATATTCAATTCGTTTAATTTCAAATAATAACAATTGTTAAAAGGGGTTTCACAATAAAAACATGATTCAGCTTGACCATGATCAGTTTTATCAATTGAAATATAAAGCAAAAGAAATAATTAGTAGGCACTTCGTTCAAAACAGTCAGTACTTACTAATTTTGACTAAGTTCAGTTCCAGTCTGAAAACGATGGTACTACAGCATCGAGAGCGCATTCTAGTATGAACTCGATGAATTGCCTCATTTTCTAAGTTTCTAATAGAAATGATAAATCGTGGAGTTAGATTAAAGTTTCTAATACTTTATTTATTTTAAAGATTCAAATAGAGCTTTAGCCGCCTTATACATATCCTAAAAATAAATCTAGTTTTATAAACATAGTAAAATAATAATACTAATAGAATAATAAAAAGTGTGCAAAACAATAATATATTATTTAAAATATTAATTATTTATAATTGAATAATGAAACTATTGGGTTGTCTGGAAAATAATGCAGTTTTATGGTTATAAGATAAAAATGAATTAAATGATTTTAAACATATTTTATTAATTAAAATACCCTCCATCACTCTCAATACACTTGTTCCACCGTGGCAACTTCTCTATACCTTCTTAATAAAATTTTGAGTCTTTATTATTAACAAATTCTGTAAACGCATTTTCTAATAACTTTAGATCAATAAATTTTTTATATTGAAAAAGTCCAGATGCCTGAAAAAATGGTAGTCGGTAAACGAGAGGTCTGGAGAATACCGAGGGTGAGGCTGAACCTCATAACCAAGATCCAACAGTTCTTGTATTGTCACATGTGGGACATGGAGGCCAAGCCTTGCCATGTAACAGAATTGGCCTTTTCCAATTGTATATTTTTATTTTGTGAGTTGGGAGCTATGAAAATGTGATGCAGCTTCTCCTTTGTCAAGCCACTCCCCAGAACTTTATCATAGTAAATCCACTTTTCATCACAAGTAACAATTCTATCCTTTATTTACAGGTAATTAAGAGCTATTGTAAACAAAATAAACAGTAAATAATGCTCTGTTTACTTCCTTTGTTTACTTTTGAACTAAGTAATCCCACTTGCACAAAAAGTAGCATTATGCCCTTCTATTCTGCTGTGCATAATATTCATCATAATATTCATCATTTCAGTTAATCTTTTTCTTTTGTTGATTTCATTTGTTACTATTCTTATTTTTAAACTTTTTCCAATGGCTCCAGTCAGGCATTTCAGTGAGTATGACAGAGTCAGTCATAACGTTATTAGACGAAGGATACAGCCAGTGTGAATAGCCAGGAGACTGAGTAAATCATTCTACAGTAGGAAGGGTTCTTCGGCGCTTCAGAGAAACAGGGCTTCACACTACAAGGGTCGACCTAGGGCTACAGAGGAGAGAAACAATAGATTCATTCATCATCAGGCTCTACGAAACGGATACAGGAAATGAGATAACAAACCTAATAAGACAAGTCCGAAATGTTTTAATTTCCTCCAGGACTGTAAGAAGAGGGCACAATGAAAATAACCTCAAGGTCAGCACCCTGCTCATGGACTTCTTTTACCACAGTTCAGGAAATGGCCAGACGCTTCAATTCGCATTGGAGCATTTGAATTTGACGAGTTCTCTTTACAGATTAGGTGAGAGTTGGCCTCAATTCTTCAGATGGGCATAATTTCATGTGGAAATGATCAGGAGATAGGTACGACCCATGCTGTATGGTTGTTCAGGTGGCATTCCACAGTAAGTCAGTAATGTTCAGGGCTGGGATTTCCTTGGACACCCGCACCGAATTGGTTGTTGTGCAAGAAAAATCTCTAACTTCACAGAGGTACTTACAAGACATAATGGAAGAACATGTAGTGCCATTTGCCCCTCCACATCGGTTAGAGATTCTTGCTAATGTGGGATAATGCCAGGCCCCCTTATTTTTTTGTGTGTTTTTGTTCTTTACTTAATAATTATGTTTTTAGATTTGGGTAACCAGTAAATAGTACATTTATTCATACTTTGAATACCAAAAATAGGTTTGGTTGTAAAAATAAGACATTTAAAAAGCAAATGCTTGTTACCTGATTCTTAAAAAAAATAAAAAATTCAGTAAAGAATGCACAAATCAAAATAAAATAAATAAAAATGTAAAAATGCTTTTTTGTTCCCTTTAATAATGAGTATATCCACCTCTGGCATGAAACTGTTAAACGCCATTGCATTCCTTGGAAGATATTTCTAATAAAATCCTGAGGAATTCTTTCCCTTTCATCAAAAACAGTTGTTTCCACTCTTCAGGGGCGTTAGGACCGGGTTTCGCTGTTGTACTCATCACTTAAGTTGGTCCCAAATGTGTCTGACTGGGTTCAAATCTGAAATTTGAGCTGGCCACACCACCAAGCACTCAATTCCAACCTCATTCAGTTAATCATCCACAATTCGTGCTCTATGGGGCCTGGTGTTAGCAATAATTAAATTAGCAATATAGCATTAAAAGTAGAGATGTATTCCAGAGCTACAATTTTAAGCCGTATTGCTCTCATCTTGTCCAGGGACTTCAGGACTCTTGATTATGACAAACATCTAACGTTCTTTGCACAAATGTCGATTTGGGAGCCTGAAGAAAACGTTCTTCCATACATCCTATGGACTGATGACTCCAAGTTCACCTCCAATGGAATACAATACCGTTGGAAATTTCGAGTGTGGGCGGAGGAAAATTTGAGAATTTCATACTCTTGTCATCATCAGGTGGTTCGCAGTATCAATAGTATCAAAGTGTAGACGTCTAGGAAATAAAACAATTTGGTTTTATTTCTACGAAAATAATTTAAATGGTGCTCAGTTCCTCAAATTTTTGAGGGAGGTTTTACCAACATTATTACATGATGTTCCTCTGCAACAATGACAAAGAATGATTCTCTAGCTTGATGGCTGCCCCCCGCACACAATTCTTTGGAGGTGAGACGTTATTTGAATCGTCACTTCCGGGATAGGTGGCATAGGACCTCATGGCCCTGTTGCCCTCCTCGGTCACCCGATTTAATTCCATTCGACTATTTTCTGTGGGGCCATTTAAAAAACAGTGTCTACACCAATCATAACCCAGCAACCTCAGTTGAAGAACTGCGACAAAGGATAGAAAATGTTTGTGAATCCATCTTCCCTGATTCTATCGCTCTGAGTACTGGTGAAGATTGGTTAAAAAGGATCAAATCTTTGCATCTTTACACAAGGCAAGCAGTTTGAACATGAAATGTGATTAATAACAAACCAAATGACATTTATGTAAACTTTTTGCTCTAACTTTGTCATTTTTTGACCAATATATAATCTGATTGCACCATTGTTTTAGCGTAAATGATCGTTTAAAATGGTGTGTCAGTAGTTATAGGGTCGTATTCGAAATTTGAAGTTGAACTCGGCCTGATGTACTCTGTATATTTTTTTTTCCAAAAAAAAGGTAAAAATTTGAAACTAGACTTTTTTTAAATAGTGTCATTGGTGCAAGAGAAATTAAGCCGGACCATCTAAAAAGGGCACCCTGTATATATTCAGTAAATTAAAGTTTTATAAATTAGCCAGTCGATTCCACATTAGGTGATGGAGAGGATGGAAAATGCTTGTGAATCCATCTTCCCTGATTGATTGACACTCTGAGCACTGGTGAAAATTGGTTAAAAATGATCAATCTTTGCAACTTTACGCAAAGGCAAGCAGTTTGAACATGAAATGTGATTAATAAACAGCAAACTAAATTACCAATTTTTTTTTAAACCTTTTGCCATAACTTTTACATTTTTTGACCAATTTAAAATCCAATTGTTTTTGCACCATTTTTTTTCAGCGTAAATGATTTAAAATGTCAGGTCGTATTTGAAATTTTGAAATTGAACTGGGCCTGAGTTATCCTGTATAATTTTAACACTTTTTTTTTTTTTTTTTTTTTTTTTGATAGCGTCATTAGTTCAAGAGAAATTCAGCCGGGACATCTAAAAAGCCCTGATAACGTTGCATATGGACTCAAAATAACTAAATAAAAAAATCTTTCATCGGACTGTGCACCATATCAAGGCCCTTTCTTAAATCTTGTAGCTACTTTTTTTTTTCCAAAGGTCACTAGTATTACCTTTATCAATGGGAAAATATGGATTAAATTAAAAATGAAAAATTACCAAAGTGGATCTTTGAAAACGGTCAAAATTGGGGTTCGTCGTTATTTCGTCGAACCAGATCTGACTAGTTTTGTCGTTGAACGGCAGTTTTTTTTTTCTAAAATCGCAAGGTTCTTTCGTTTAAAACTTTAAATTCGGCGAATCGATTTCTTTGTGAACGATTCTACTATTTAGGAGTAGCATTGGAGTTGTTTTTTGTTTTTGTTTTTATTTACGTGGAATTAAAAGAGTGTGATTTTATAAGAAAAATATTTACAATTAAATTTTACCTTATCGTTGAGAATAAAAGAAATAAAAGGTGAATCCGTCTTTAGAAATAAAAATCGATATATTTTGAGTTTGGCGTGGGACGGTTTGTCGGAGGCAGGTCGAAATCGAGTCTCAACTGTTTTTCCTCGATACTGGATCGAATCGAGCCGTGTCAAGTCGGCCGTGCTCAGTCCTGAAAGCGTTAATCCTGTCGGCCGTCTTTCCCCGTTACTCCTGACAGTTTGTGTTTCTCGCCGTTGATAACACATCTCCGGATTTTCATGAAACGGACCGGATCCTAGACATAGGTAATTGGTTTTGACTCAAGAAAACTTACAATCTAGATTAACCCGTTGAAAATTGATTTTCCTACCTACTCGGCCGTTTTGAAAACTAATTGAAATCATTATCAAGGGGGGGTTGTCTTATCTAGTTTTCCCTTTACCTTAGGAAAAAGACAAAAAAAAAAAATTAATCCACACGTCTATTTAACGCCTAGGCTTTATCCCTGGAGTCGCTTTTCCGACCCTGCACGACTGGTTCAATCCAGTCGCAACGCAGTTCGACCCGGCCCGTTGCACCTGTCTCAAAAATCCCTTTTTACCCATTAAACACAAATACACGAATGACGCACCTTCTCATTATTCATCGCCCACTCCGCAAATTAGACCTTTTTCCCATAAACACTCCAAACCCAGCTTGATCAAAATATTTAACAATTTTATGACAGTTTGCCAAACTCATTTTTATCTTGTTGCTGTTTGAAGGGAAGTATACCGAATATGTCGGCCCATTTATTCATTTCATGACATTTGCTCGTGAAAAAACTCATTACTGACATCTACCTAGGTTTTATTTGTTTCGCTGAAGAAGGTAGATTCCGAGGGTTGTCGACAGCTGATTTCTTACCATAACGCTTCATTTTATAATCTAAACCCACTATTAAATAAATCAATCCAAAATTGAAGATCCCAAACCTGCAACAAATAAGCCTGATGTCATTTACAAAATCAATTGTGTAAATTGTCCGGCAACTTACATCAGAATTACATCCGAGTATCTGGATAAAAGGGTAAAACAACATATCTACAATTGCAAAAAACCCAAACAAAATCCTACAGCACTGGCTACCTACCGTTGTGAGCACCAACACAATTTCGACTTCAACAATCCAACAATATTACACACAACAAAACAAACATAAACGTAACTTTTTAGAATTGGATTACATCAGCAGAGATAAACACAGCATCAATTATAGAATAGACACGTATAAACTCAGCCACAACTACACTAACATCATAAATCAAATTCGATATAACGTACATATGACACACAAAACATATAATACAACTTTCAATTAATTATTCTTTTTATGTAAGGTCTTGGTTGAAATAAAAAAGTTAGTGTCATGAACAGGATTCGAACCCACGACCTTCAGTTCAATACACTGCTGCACTAACCACTATCATGACTTTGAACCACTCGGACACCAACTCTCCATCTCAACCCAACCTTTCGAATTTTCCCTCTTTTTGCCATTTTTCAAATGTCATGTAATCAGGATTCGATTCTCAGCGACTTATGAAGTGGCCAGGGGGAGCCGTTATTGAAGTGATACTTCTTTACTTATTATATATCAATGTATTTATGTTTAGTGGTCTAATTGACCAAATTTCAATTAATTATTTTTATATGTAAGGCCTGGATTGATATGAAAAAGTTAGTGTCACGAGCTGTATTCGAACCCACGACCTTCGGCTCAATATGCTGCTGTTCTAACCATCTGAGTGACTTCGATCCACGCTGGTTTGAATCCCGCTGGAGGCACTAACTTTGACATTTCAACCAAAAACCTTACATAAAAAGATTAATTAATTGAATTAATTATTAAAGTTTATTATGCTATCTAAGGTCTTGTTTAAGAAGAAAAAGTTAGTGTCATGAGCGGGGTTCGAACTCATGTCCTTTGGCTTTTCCTCTCAACCAAGACCTATAATAAAGAGTATAATTAATTTAAATAATTAATACAGCCAGTTATGATACTAAACATATATGGATTAACATAATAATTAAAGAAGTAATTACTTTGCTAACAGCTCCCTGTGGCCACTTCATACATCACTGAGAATCGAATCCTGTCCTGATTACATGACATTTAAAAAATGGCAAAAAGAGGGCAAATTCGAATTAGTTGTTGGTTGAGAGGGGTGTTGGTGTCAGAGTGGATCAAAGTCACGTAGCTCATGTGGTTAGAGCAGCAGTGTATTGAGCCGAAGGGCGTGGGTTCAAATTCCACTTGTGACAAATTTTTTCATCTCAACCAAAACGTTGGATAAAAAGAATAATTAATTGAAATAAACACTTACTGTTGATTGATAATTACAGTGATTCCCGAATGTGTTGAGTTAGGCTACTTCACGAATATTTGTGCACTTTGAATTGAACAAGAAAACCGACAATTAGCCGATCACCGAATATTGAATATTGTTGCTCGAATAACCAAGCTCCAGTTCCCACTAGTCAGGATTCGGCAAACCTTTGCTCGGCCAGATAATCTAATTGAGGGTCCGCCACCACCCTCTAACACTAATTAATACATTCACTTCCACACAACAATGTCTTATCGATCTATCATTATATTCTCATACTGAGGTACCTACACACTCTATATTGAGCCGAGGAATGACACCCTTCAAACACCCTCACTTCTAAATATCAACACAACTTGTCGTTTAGTCAAACCTCAGTTTTATCCATCTCACCAATGTCAGGCTCCAGGGCCCATTCATAATCAGGTGAGGATGATCTCTCATACAATTCAGATCTAACCAATCAAATTGAGGGACTATGGGGTACTCACTATCCACCACCCTCTGACTCTAATAAATACATTCACTCTCAATATCCCAAAAGAAGAAACACAAAGCGAGATATCTATCAATTACTAAATACCATAAAACAACCCTTTTTTTTTTCTTTTTTTTTTTTTTCAAAAGATGAAACAGAGGTTGTAATATTGTTAATGTTAATCTATTTATAATCTCCATTATTATCTATAGCTTCCCATTAAGCATAATGCTAAGATCTCAAAGTTTTGTCAATGACTCCTGTGTGCGAGAACATGTTCCTCTGTTTCTTTTTCTTTCTGGCAATATCTGCGCATGCTTTTTTCGATATATACTAATATAATGATTTTATTTTATTTATTTATTTTTTATTTATTTATTTATTTGCTAACTGAATGTAATTAAACCAAAACAGATATTCGACTCTTGGAAAAACTACTTTTATTTCCACATTCCAATTTTTAAAAAATAATTATTATTGTTTTGTTTGGAATTTTTTTTTTAATGATTTAACAATACTGAGTGAATGATTTCAGAGTAAAATATTTCTGATATTGAGTTTTCAACTCTCGGTGCTTAGGTGTTTTGAAGAATTTGTTTTATGTTCAACTTCCAATCTGTTCCATCAGTTGCATATTTCTCACTTCTCGGTTCTCAGTCACCTTGGCTTGGAAAAAGGGCAGAACCACGGAAAAACAAAACAATAAAGTCTAAAGTTTCTAATACTTTAAGTTGAAAAATTAATTTGGTGGATACGGGGCTATTCCAGAACTGAAAACAGATGGCAAAAATCTTCTTTTTTGCAAAAATTTGTTCATACAATACTTACAAACAAGTATAAATCTAGAGCTGGACTATTCTGTTCTAGTTTCTTGTATAATTTTTTAGTGAGTCAAAAATGATATTGCTATTGGAAAATTGATTAATTGATTCAGATGAGTCAGAAGAGAAAGTTGAATCTATTGTGGCATTGACATAAATAAACCACCTGTTTTTTTGTCCTTTGGTAGATCATATAACATTTTTAGATAATTCAATTAATTAAGGTTTTAAGTTGAGATAAAAAAGTCAGTGTCACGAGGGGGATTCGAACCCACGACCTTCGGCTTGATACGCCACTACTCTACCGCTCGATCCACTCGGGCACTAACTTCCCATCTCAACCCCACCCTCGAATTTTCCCTCCTTTTTGCCATTTGAGATGGGAAGTTAGTTCCCAAGTGGATCGAAGTCACGATAGTTGGTAGAGTAGTAAAGTGAGTAGTATAAGTGGTAGAGTAGCGGCGTATCAAGCCGAAGGTCGTGGGTTCGAATCCCGCTCGTGGAACTGACTTTTTTATCTCAACTTAAAACCTTAATTAATTGAATTGTATTAATTGGTCAAGCAGACCACGAAAAATAGTGAATTTTTAGATAAAATGAACTGTTTTAATCTATTTAATTTTTCTGTGTATGGGTGTTTCTCTGTTAATCTTTAGTCATTTAATGTTGATTTTTCAATGGTATTCTAGTTTTTAATCTTTGATCTCTTGGAAGAAATCCTTATTGACCATTTTCTTATCCAGTAATTGACATTATAATTTCAAAAAATGGCATGGCCCTCATCGCTTAATAGACTGAGAATTGAGCATTGTAGGATCATTGAGCATTTATATTTCTCCATCAATCTTTCGAAGAATATAACATCTTAATGATTATCATCACCTACCTACATTAACAAAACTTAGTGGCTTTAAACGTAGTGGATATGTGCCAGCCCATCCATTACAAAATAATGTGAAATTCGATCATTATTTATTAAAATTCCGTGGCATTTTTAGATGATAAATTCAATGTAATTTTTTTTTTTTACTGATAGTAAGGAGTGGCAATTGATATGCCACAAATTTTAATTCTTTGAATGTTTTTTAAAGGTAAAGGAACTTTTTAAAACATTCAATATGGAGGAGGAAGATTTCTCAAAGTTGTCAATTGAGGAACGTTGCACCCATAAGGTATAAATTTATCGTTTTAAGATAGACGTGTTTTTAGCTGATTTTTGTTTTTAAATTTTAGCTTTGGAAAGCTCGTCTAAGTGGGTACGAAGCTGCTGCAAATCTATTTAGGCAGATCGACGATGAAAAGTCACCGGAATGGAACAAATATATGAGCCTTGTGAAAAAGTTCGTTGTCGACAGTAATGCACCAGCACAGGAAAAGGGTTTGGAAGCTGTTCTCGCGTTTGTTGAAAACTGTGCCTCGGCTGGAAAGTAAGTTTTACGCATGTGGATTTCCAAATGGATTTAACCATTTTTTCATTATACACTCAGAACTGCTGGAGACGTCCTAGCAGGGCTGGTACAAAAATGCATATCAGCACCTAAAGCGCGGACAAAGGAGTTGGCCTCACAAATTGCTCTCATGTACATTGAAATTGAAAAACAAGAAATTGTACTCGAAGAGTTGATGAAAGGTACAGAGTCAAAAAATCCGAAAATCGTGTCTGCTTCTATCCATATTATAAACCAGAGTCTGACGTAAGTTGCCTTATTTATGCAAAAATCTTTCAGCGCTGTTTATTACTATCTCTCCTTTTAGTGAATTTGGTGCTAAAACCGTAAGCATAGGTAAGATTTTGAAACGAGTTCCAAAACTTCTTGAGGATCGTGACAACAATGTCCGTGCAGAGGCCAAATTATTATTGCTGGAAATGTATCGATGGTTAGGACCTGCGATAAAGTCACAGCTTTCTAACTTAAAACCAGTTCAGGTAAACTAAACTGTTACTTTTCATACTTTTTTAATAAATAGTTAAATTAAAAATAAATTAAAAAAAAAACTTAAATCTTGTTTGTGCAATTTTCTCTTGATAGATAACAGAATTGGATGCTGAGTATGAAAAAATCAAAGATACTCCCGTCAAGGCTGTAAGGTTGCTTCGTTCTCAGCAGATTAAAAAAGATCAGGAAGTTAGAGACAATGGTGGCGATGAAGGTATAGATTTTCATTGTTAACAAATTTTCTGTATGTGTTTTATACATTTTGAATTTTCTAAGGTGATGGAGATGAAGTATACGAACAAGCGGAGGAGATTAATCCATACGATCTTCTCGATCCTGTTGATATTCTTGGTCAACTTCCAAAAGATTTTTATACCCAATTAGAAGCTAAAAAGTGGTCTGATAGAAAAGACGCTTTAGAAGCTTTAGAAAAATTGTTAAATTCATCCCCTAAAATTGAAAATGCCGATTATGGCGATTTAATTAGAGCGCTTAAAAAGGTAAAAACCATCATTTATAATCAGATCAAAGCAAAATCTAATTTTTTTTCCTTCTGTAGATTATTAGCAAGGATTCCAACATAGTTGTAGTAGGTCTTGCAATAAAATGCACCACAGGCTTAGCTAACGGTCTTAGAAAGAAATTCCATCAATATGCTTCTGTCATGATGGCAACATTATTCGAAAAATTCAAGGAAAAGAAACAAAATGTGGTCCTTGCTCTCAGGGAAGCAGTTGATGCCATTTTTCCCTCTGTAAGTATTTTAAACACAGGAATCCCCCATCAATTTTGTAAAATTTCAATCAGTAGCAATTTTTCTTTTGAAATATTTTAATTTTAGCAATCTTGCTGAACTTTGCTAATTGCATTAAATACTGTTTAATTTTGTATTATAGACATCCTTAGAACTCCTTCTGGAAGATGTGATAGTAAGCTTAGACAATAAAAATCCTAGTATTAAGGCTGAAATTGCTTCGTTTCTTGCGAGATGTTTCGCAAAATCCACATCTGCTGCACTGAATAAAAAATTATTGAAACCACTCACTAAATCATTGTTGAAATGTCTAGTTGACCAAGGTAAAAAAAAAAAAAAAAAAAAAAAAAAAACTTGGAATTTATATTTTACAGCCTCTTAACAAATATCGTGATTATTTCAGACCCTGCAGTCAGAGATAATGCAGCACAAGCTTTGGGCACCGCAATGAAAGCAGCTGGGGAAAAGAACATCAACCCTTTCCTAGTAGATGTCGACAACCAGAAAATGGCAAAGGTAAATATTTAAAATGAACATGTAGGTTGTATTTTCCTCCTGTAATCTCTTTGTTATTCAATAGATTAAAGAATGCTACGAGAAAGCGGAAATTTTGGTCAAACCACCTAAACCACAAAGCACAAGAGCACCCAAGGAAGAGGCCGCAAAGAAATCAACCCCTGAATCGAAACCAGTGGCTAAAGTCGTCAGACCCAAAGGTAAATGCTTGTATACTACTCATTTTCACTGCAAATCAGAGGTCATATCAACCCTCGGGGTGTTGGTGTAAAAAAAAAATTGTAAGTATGTTGGGTTCGAATGCAGGGCCGCAGTGATGTAGCCACTGACGCCCCGCCCCTTATTTATTATTAAAACACTAATTTTTTCTCGATGTGAAATAAATAAGTTAATATAATTGCAGGTGCTAGTTCAGTGCCTTCTGCTGTGAATCAAATGGCGGGTGTCTCCCTTTCGCAAGAAGAGTGTCTTCAAAAGGCTCAGTCTTTGTTAAACAGCTCTTTAATATCTGATCTTACAGATTCAGACAGCAGTACGCGATTAAATGCGTATATATCTCTTCTTAAGGTTAGAACTCATCAAATAATCATTCACTATATTTTGTGGTAATAATTGGTAATGGACCCTAACAACTAATTAATAGAATTTTTTTAAAAGTAATATACATATTTTTTATCCTTGGACACAAAATAATTATGTATTTCTCTTCAGGTTGATTATTTGCGTTAAGTAGGTAATTATATTTTTGTATTTACCAAGACACCCAGTTGATATTCGTTTTCTCCACAAAACCCCTGAATACTAATTTTTGAGAAAATTGAAAAAATAATTTTTTCCTCTAATCAACCTTGTGTTTAAGTTGCCTTCAATTGTTTAGCGATGTAGATTATCAACCAGCTAATTCAGTGCTCTCAGTTATCGGGTTTGTGGTCAAGATAAACAGCAAGGTTTTGCTTTATTGCCAAGTTTACGATTGTATATTTACTCAATCTCAAGGGGCTACAATGACACAAACTAATAACAATACAATAAGAAGATTAACAATACAAAAGGAATACACATTTTTTGTTTTGGACGTAGAAAAACAATGCTCTAAGCTTATAAAATATTTGTGAACATACAAAAAATACATTGCAAGTATCAAAATAAAGGCATGCCTTTCTTTATCCTCAATGCAATATCGCTCAAAGGCGATAACAGGCCAGGTATATTCTTACATAATATCCAATGCACTAATGCAAACTATCCCTCTGTTAGGTTCTTTTTTTTTTTTTTTTTTTTTTTTTAATAATAATAAATTTGAATAAATTGTGTACTATTATTATTATTTTTTTTTTTTAATTTTCATTTTACGAGGGTTCGCAGCAGCAGAGGTTATATCAACCCTCGGGGTGCCGGTTTTTTTGAAAAAAAGCTCATTTGTAAGTATGTCGGGTTCGAATGCAGGGCCACTGGATTCGAACCTAGGACCTTTACCTACAGTGATGAGCACTGTGTCAACGCCTAAACTGTTGCGGCCACCTACACCCCTACTAATATTATTGTAATCAGATTTCAAATTGCAAGCATAGGGATCTTTTTGTACATACATAGATTCTTTGAGTAATCTATGCCCTAGAATTTTTTCATAGTCTACAATTTTTATGTCTTTTTTTTTAACTTAGTTGTGTTTGTGTTCAATTGAATGTTTCAAAAGTCCCGTTCCTGCTCTAATATAGTATAAAACAGTTATAAAACCTTTAGAAAGCTCGAAATATGTGTTCAACCAAAGTAATGTTGTGATACCCAGTCTAGCTAATGATATTCTACTTACAACTTTCATCGTTATATAAAAGTTATACCCATAATGGATATAATTATAGATGTAGAAATGATAAGTTCTATACCTAATGAATCTAGAAAAAATAAGTTGAGAGCAGAAGTGGCTAATATAATAACTAGTGGGGTAACTAAATCAACACATAGTCAGCATTAAAAAGCAAATCGTTAAAAAAAGTAAATTTATTAAAAATAACCCCAATATTATAATTTTTAAAGCAAACAAAAGTAAATGACTGTAGTTATTTGTAAATGAAAACTTGGAAGGGAACATACTATACAAAAAAGAAAAAAGACCTAACTTTAAGGTTACAGAAAGAATGTAATAAGATAATTGACTCTGTTTGATAAAAAAATTATTTAATCAGTCACAAAAATCAAAATACAAAACTCATAATGCTTTCCCTTAGACCCATAGTGTCATGTACAGGTTTTCTAAGGTTGTAGCTGGAATATTAAGTAGTCGAGATCAAGATTGGGTCCAATTAAAATTTTGCCTTAACATAAAAGTTATTAAAAAATACGTTAACGATTTGTTCTTAATTATAAGGACAAATGAGTTAGATAAGGTTATTCAAGCTTTTAACTCGTACCACCCAAAATTCTTGTTTACCCAAGAAGTTGAAGAAAATGGTAAATTACCATACTTAGATTTATTAGTGATTAGGGTTAATAAAAATTTGGTTACAGAATGGTATCAAAATTCTACTAGTTCAGATAGATTACTTCACTACAGTTCCTCACACTCTTTACAAATGACAATCAACATAATAACGAATAGTCGGGTAATTCAAATTGGTGGTCAGGGATAATATTTAAGGGTTCAATGATGGTGTGTAAACAAAGAAGAAGATTCTTTTTATTTAATAAGATCCTGCATATTATTTTCTTATTGTAGGTTAAAAAGACAAATTGGCTGATGTATAATAACCTTGAAATATAAATGCATAACAAAGCAGAAAACTTAATTACTTTTAAAAAATTCTCAGGTTCTATGGCCTATTGTCAAGAACACTCGGACAAGAGTTCAATATTTTTTGACTTAGTATCATCAAAAGAAGTTTCTTAAGCTTTTAAAAATGCATTAAAATAATTGAACAACTCAACATCAAGATCTAGATAAATTTAATAACTTGTAAAACAAAATAATAGATAATTATATTCAAAACGTTAATGTTCATTAATTATTTGAACTTTACAGGAAATAAAAAGTTGTGATGTTAATGAAGAAACTGGTCAAATATTACTTCATGTTCTCAATTATGCTCAAATTGAGGAAACCGAACCAGAAATAATCAAATTGAAATTACAAACAATGAAATTTATTGCTGATACCATGCCTCTTTTGCCGTATGTATTGGGTTGATAGATATTTCAAAATAACAAAATATAAAAAATATTCATTTTCAGAGACATCGCATCAGTAGTACTTCCTGAAGCAGCTGCGTTAATTCTTAAACCTGAATGTGGTGAAAATGCCATACAAGTTCTCTGGTCTTTCACAAATTCTTTGTCTCTTGATAATGTCGCCAATTCTCTACTTGCAAACGAGAAGGTTGTTAATGATTCGAAACTGTGGGCGGAAATGTTAAACTGGCTGTCTTTTGCGATTATGAAAACTGGTGTTGTGTAAGTATTAAAAATAAGTAGTCCAATTTTTTAAATATAATGTTTCTATTTTTAAATCACTTCTTTTTTTATGTTCATTTAGGAATTCAGACTTTATTGTAGACTGTGGAAAGAAAGCGTTGAACCATAGTGATTCAGCAGTTCGAAACGCTGGCTTGGCATTGATTGGAACGATTCATTTACAAGGTGGTAGTAATAATACAGGTGGTGATGCCTCTCCGTTAAGATCCACTGATACTTTCACAAGGCCTGCAAAGAGTGCAAGCAGCTCAGATATTTCAAAAGTAAATTCAAATTGACATTTTTCTCAGAAATTATTGCTGAAAATGTTCATGGATATTTACTCTGTGTTTAGCGTGCCAGAGAAAAGCCACAATCAGCAGGTAAATCTGGTGAAAATGGGAAATTGAATAAAGCTGCTAGTAGTGAAATTCTTTCTCGAATTGATATTGGACCACAAATAACAGAACAAATTATAAATGAACTTAGCGATAAAAATTGGAAGGTATTTATTAAGAAATATTTTGATGTTCTTTTCTATTTGTTCATTTATTTTTTTCCACTCTTCTATTTGTTCATTTATTTTTTTCCTCTCTTCTATTTGTTCATTTTATTTTTTCCTCTCTTCTATTTGTTCATTTATTTTTTCCTCTCTTCTATTTGTTCATTTATTTTTTTCCTCTCTTCTATTTGTTCATTTATTTTTTTTCCTCATTTCTATTTGTTCATTTATTTTTTCCCCTAGGTAAGAGCTGAGGCAGTATCAAAGATTCAAACGATTGTCAGTTCAGCCCAGAGCATTACGCCAAACCTTGGTGAATCACCCATCCCTATTGCTGCTCGAATCAACGATAGCAATTCAAAAATAGCTGCAAGTGCGATCGCACTTGTAGAATCGTTAGCACACGCCATCGGGCCTTCTTGTAAACAACATGTACGAGTATTTTTACCAGCATTAATCAAAGTTATGGGAGATACAAAGGTTTTTATTTTATTTAATAAATAATTTTAAAATTAATTAATTATAGATTAAAAATACATATTTTTTCATAAGCCATGGATCAAAAATGCCGTCATTCCATGTCTTAACACTTGGGGTGAAACAGGAGGTTACAAAGAATTTTTTGAAGGTGAAATAATTGCAGATGCTTTAAAATCTGGTTCGCCATCACTACGTTCAGAATTATGGGCTTGGCTCAGTGAAAAATTGCCAAATAGTGAGTATTCTTTTCTAAAACATATTTTCATTGATTTACCGTTTTATTTACTCCATAGTCCCTCTGAGAACCATCCCCAAGGATGAGTTAACAGCCTGTCTACCGACATTATATGCTAATTTGGAAGACAGAAATGCCGAAGTGAGAAAAAATGCTTGTGAAGCCGTTCTAGGATTTATGATGCACTTAGGTTTTAACAATATGTCCTCTGCATGTGATAATATGAAGGTTAGTCATAAAACCCCGAGGGGAAAATTGTTGCACGACTTTAACATTTATTCAACAGGGTGCTAGTGGGGTCCAAGTGAAACAGATACTGGAGAAAACACGAGGTAGTGTACCTGAAAGGGCAGTACCGAAATCAAAAAGTTCTCCTGAAAAAAGCAGCGCCAAACCGTCAATCGGAAAGTTAGCACCAGGATCGTCAGCAACTATTACTAAATCGACGAAATCAAAGGTAGTCATCGAATCAAAATGACATTTTATAAATTTAAATGAATATCAACTTAAGCCACCAATGACTTGCTTCTTTAGGGAAATGCTGTCGTAAAGTCTGCAGGCAGTAGGAAGAAAGACGAAGACGTTGATAACAGTCCTTTACTACAAGTCAATAACTTAAAACATCAGAGAGTTATCGATGAACAAAAGTTAAAGGTAATTTTATGACCCTGAATATACTCTTACCTTGTGACATCAGTTTTTATAACAATCATCAGTTATATCAATGATATTTTTTTTTTCAGACTCTAAAGTGGAATTTCGTTTCACCACGTTCTGAATTCATTGAATTACTTAAAGAACAAATGCTATCTGCTAATGTGAATAAAACATTGATTGCAAACATGTTCCACACAGATTTTAAATACCATTTACGAGCTATAGATGCACTAACAGAGGTAAAATATAATTAATTATTTTATTAATCTAAAATCTTACCTGTTTTATTTCTCCCAGGATCTACCAACCAATCGAGCAGCTTTAATAAGTAATCTAGACTTGATTTTACGCTGGATGACGATACGATTTTTCGATACAAATCCTTCAGTGCTGTTGAAAGGACTTGAATATTTAAATACAGTATTTAATGTCCTCATCGAGGAAGAGTACAATATGCTGGATAGTGAAGCTTCAGCATTTTTCCCATATTTGATTTTAAAGGTATGTGTGTTTAATTTTTGATCAATCACCGTTTTAATTTCTAAATGAAGAATTTTTTAATGAAGACTGGAGTAGGAATTTTAAACTCATAAATGAATCTATTAAAGAAATCGTTTATAATATCAAGCAGATGCTTTTTCACTGTTTCAATCCTTAATGAAGTACTTAGTAGTATTTTTAAATAGGCCCTTTCTCATCATAATCCTACCTAACCTAACCCAACTCTAATCATATTCCTACCTAATCTAATCTAGCCCAATGGTTAAACAAAAATTATTTATCCAGACCAAAACCATATCCATGGTAAAAATTTCAATTTGGCCACCATTGTTCTTAGTCTTTATGAAATACTTTGTAATAGTTTTCAAGATGTTGGATTTATTTCTTTGCCTTTTTGATGTATTTGTGGTTTTAAATTTTAAAATAAACTACTTTTTAATTTGCATCCTCTTATATTATGTGTATATTAGAACAATTTAAACATTTATGGTAATCAAATTATAGGTTGGAGATCCAAAGGATACTGTTAGAATCAGCGTGCGTGCTTTGTTCAAACAGATCGGGGCAGTGTATCCGTTGACCAAGCAATTTGTTTATATAATGGAAGGTGTTAAATCGAAGAATGCACGTCAAAGAGCTGGTTAGTAATTTTCCTACTGAAGCGTTTATTTCAAATGTTTTGTTTTCAAACTTTTGTTTTAAACTTTTTACAGAATGCTTGGAACAATTGTGTTGGCTCATTGATAATTATGGGCTCAATGTGTGTCATCCTTCACCTCAAGTGTCTTTGAAAGAAATAGCCAAACATATTTCGGACAGAGACACTTCAGTCCGTAATGCTGCATTGAATCTTGTTGTTACGGCGCATTTTCTCGAAGGAGACAAAGTGTTAAAAATGGTTTCTCACGTCAGTATTACAATCGTGTTTATTACGATGATCCATTCTTTTTTTTTCTTTTTTTTTCACATGAATTTGTTCATAACGCTTTAGATATCTGAGAAAGACTTCAGTCTTTTAGAAGAAAGGATTAAAAGGGCAAACAAGAACCGACCCATTGCCAGTGTTAAACCATTGTTTCAGCCCGTAACCACTCGGGATCAACAACAGGAACATTTAGAGTCAGAAATGCAAGAAGAAATGTATGAAGATGAAGAACAACCTCAATCACCACGCCAATATCAGCAGATTCAAACAAACATAAACGCCTCAAGAGTATCAGAAGTTTCAAGGTATCATTTTCAACTTACCAAATATTCGATTCATAATGGTTTCAATTCGTTACATTTCACATGTTAAAAAGCAACTTTTTCATTTATTCATTTTTTTTTTTTTTTTCTTGGTTCAGTAATTTAAGTTGAAAAGCATTTATTATATTTTGTGCACAACTTCAGCGAGCCTGGAAATATGACCTTTACCTTGGAGATGATTAAAGGATTTGATTTAAACACCGTCCCTTGTAATCAAACATTGACATTGGAACCTGAAGTGGCGCCCAAAGTTCCGTCTAATTGCACTGTAACAATTGAATCGGAAATGGCACAAACACTCGATATGAGTGTTGATGAAATTATGGAAGTGGCCGAATTAAAAACAAGCCCGTTAGTATGAGGACAAAAGGCATTTCGGTGGATAATTGTGTTCATTTGTGTTTCATAATTGTTCGTCTATTCTTTAATTATTTGTTGATTTTCCATTGTTTTACATTTATGGTTAAATCATTTTCTGTTAGGATTTGATGATATATGTTGGTGTTGGCTCTGTGGTATTTCGAGAGATAAGCAATATTATTTTGTTTTTAATCTTTATCGACAAGAAATTTTATTTCGTAAAGTGTATTTTCCTCATAATTTAACATTATTATTAACATAATTAACATTATATCTGTGATTGATATTTTATAAAATTTCTGTTCGTCAAAAGATTACTAGTTTGTTTACCTACAAGAAGGTATATTTAAAGTACAATAAACTGGTAATATTTTCTCATGTTACGTTAATCCATTTAAGGATATAATTGAAATTTAATTATAAGCGGAGGCTTGAGGTATCACAGATTTCAATTGAACTTTTTCTGCTATTCACAAAATAATTTACCACTGTTCATGCGTTCTTGACAATGGGTTCTAGGAGCCAAGAAGAAAAAAATTAAGTTTTTTTTTTTGTTAAAATTGTTTCTTAATAAAAAAATATTTTAACCTACTTTGGTACGTCACTTGATCACAAACTCTGTATTTCAATTTTTCCATTGTTGGGCAAAAAAGTGGCCACCCTTAATATTTTTAATTATCTCTTACATAATCCTCCATTGATTGTTTTAGAACAATATTTGGTCCATTATAGGCAAAAAAAGTGGCCACCCTTAATATTTTTAATTATCTCTTAGATAATCCTCCATTGATTGTTTTAGAACAATATTTGGTCCATTATAGGCAAAAAAAGTGGCCACCCTTAATATTTTTAATTATCTCTTAAATAATCCTCCATTGATTGTTTTAGAACAATATTTGGTCCATTTTAAAGTATGAAAGGTAAATTAAGACACAGATAGAATCTCCCCCTTGTGATTACAATGGATCTTGTAAATATACCTTTGAATAGTCAATCAGTTTCTTTGATTGGATTTCATAAATCTTGTTTTCGGATGAGTCGAGGTTTTGCTTGAGGTCTTCTGACAGCCAAAAGAGAGAGAGAGAGAGAGTTTGGAGAAGAACAGGAGAGTGATATATCTCTGCAACATTTTCACCCTGGAGAAGCTATGGAGGTGATGGTGTTACAGTTTGGGCACGCATTCCTATGGAAGCTTGCACAACTTGATCTTCTCTCGAGGGTTCCCTAACAGCTGTGTGATACATTGAACATTGAAGATGTATTATCAGAAGAAATTGTAGGTTATATGCCACTAATTGGCGATGGTTTTATTTCTATGCATAACAGTGCAAGGCCCCACACAGCTAGGATCATTGGTGACCACTTGGAATGGTCTTCAATTCAATGCTTGGAATGACCAGCAAGTAGTCCCGACTTAAACCCTATCGAACACCTTTGGACAAGTAGTCAAACAGGGTGAAAAGTCATCCAGTGATGCCAGAGAATTTGCAGGAATTAAGAATGAGTATGAACGAGAGTATGAAAATATTCCACCGGCACTACATTCAAAACCTCATAAAATTGATGCCATGTCAAATGCAAATGGGGATTAATGCAAAAAGAGGAAATATTTCACTCTGAATTGAATATTTTCTTCATTGTTTCCATAATATTTTTGATCAAATTGTTTTATTTAGATAATTTTTTATTTCCCTATACCTTATATTTTCTGTAAAAATATTCAGTAAACAAAACAAAAAAATTTTGACGATTGCAAGTATTTACTAAAGAAAAAGGAGGATGGCCACTTTTTTGCCTCTTAATTTACAATGTCCATACTATGGTACCCTAACCACCCCAAAACTGAAACTATGCTTTCGGTAAAATAGGCATGAAAAAATTTAGGGATTAGTTTTTTAATTTGGATTAGTTTTTTGGCACTATGTAATGCTTTTAAATATGAATTTTTATAAAAACCAAAAATGAGATTTAAAGTCTTTAAATGGTGCTTAGAATGAATCTGAATGGTTTTCTTTCAAAAACAACCTTTTGGCCTACTTTATTTGTAGAATCTTTTCAGTTTTGGAATTTTTTTTTTAATATCTAATGTCATTTAAAAAGATCTTTCATAATATTTTCTTATCCTAAGTACCTTGCCATACACATACAACAAAGATAGAAATCCATATTTAGAAAATTACTTTTTTAAATTAGGTTTTAATAATTTTTTAAAATAAATTTTGTAATTAACTTAATAATTAATTAATTATTGATTTTTTAATTTTTTTCTTCATCTCCCATTGGCAAAACTTCCGGACACGAAATTTTTTCAACTTATTATAACAAAAAAAGTTAAATAGTGTTTTACTGAGCCGTTTTGTTAATGTAGTTGTCAAATCATAACTATTATATGTTTTCTATTTGTGAATAACAACAATAACATGTTTAGTTCACTGAATAATTGAAATTTTCCTTTTAGGGCTAACTTATCACCAGCACCAGGGCCGTACGATTTGGACCAGCATGTTATTGAGGAAATCGAGTGTGCTCCTGAAACACTTCAAGTGCCAAAACTAGCAGATATTGATTTGCAATTTCTCAAAGGTCCAAGTACACAGTAAGTCTTAAAAAAAAACTTTTTAAATTTAAGGAAATTAAAAAAATGAATTATATAGAGCGACCATAATAAAACCCATACAAATGCCAAAAATGACGCCAACTCTGCTGAATTTTACAAAGCCGACAGCTATTAAATGGGAGCTCGCACAGATTGCAAGCAGCGATATCGAAAAAGCCATGGCTTCAATTATGCAAATTGATACAGTTTTGAATTCAGAGAAGGTAATTGACAAATAAAAAGTAAACCCAATAGCTTAAGGACTACCAACTTTTTTTTCCAGAGAAATCATTTGTCTGGATTTGTTGATTACATGGTCCAACAGTTAGTGCACCAGCTCATAATATTGAACCAAAGCGCTCATCCTGAGGTTGTCAACGGCTACAGAGCCAACTTTTCATTACTCCTCAAGGTTAGTAATTTATTTAAGATAAACAGTAAACACGTATACATTTTTTATGACTTTATTTTTAGCTCTGCAATTATTCCTCCTTGTGCGGTGAAATACAAGAAGAGACATTGTATAAAATCATTGAACAGCTGTTGTTACTCTTGGCAGAAAAGAAGACAGTTACATTAGAGAAACATGAACTATTTACAAGAGTGGTCAATGCTCTTGTTCTTAAGTTGTTGGATCATGCAAATAAAACAAACATCATGTGGTACAGTTTATGTTGCATTCAATATATCACAATAATTATTAACAAAAAATTGTTTATATTAGTACAAAGCACTCCATATTCTTTCTAGGTATGAGGCCAGTTAGATAATAGATTTCATTCATCTTAAATATTTGGGCCTCATATTGTTAAAATATATAAGCAATAATACTAACAGGGTTGTAATTTGTTTCAGTGCGCTCATAAAATTGCTTTATGATGCTATAAACAATCCAGAAGCGAGCAGCCATTTCCAGGAACTTACCATTAAATCACTTTGGAAGTTGAATAGAACTCAACCAGATTGGGATCATGAGTTGGATTACGCTAGAGTATTGATACAGTTTAACAATTTTCTCAGGGTAATTTTTATTTTGTATTCTGTTAACATCCTCTGTAGATTATGTTTTGACTCTGGGTCTTGTTCCTTCAAAGTTTTTCTACCATAACTATTTAGAGGGTGTACTCTTCAGTGCTTAATTTCCCATAAGCTGTTCTTGGTTATTGTATTCCATTCACTCACCTAAGAAAAGTACGTCTAAATAAACAAACAGTTACTAAGTTTATAGATTTTCTTAAAATGAAAAAGTCTCTTGTAAGTGGACAGCAGGAAGAAAAACGATTCAGGATTCTACGATTGACAGACGACTTACATGCTGAGTGAAAAAAAAAAAAATTGTCAGAGAAAAGGGTCGAAGTCATACAAGTAAATGAGTTTACCTAATAATTTTTCTATATGTGGAATGGAAAAAATCCCTTCCTGTAGTGGTGTCCACTTATCGGAAACCTTATTACCCTATTTCATGTTTGCAAGTTGCCTTTAATATTATTAAATTAATTTAAATAATTTTTCATTTTTAAGTCTTTCCATTCCTCTACCATGTCCCTCAATTTTTGGGGTTTTCCTTAGTTGAAATTCTACTCAAATTCCTTATCGTTTAAACTAGTTTCCTCATTGCTCTATGATTAATCTCTGTCCAGTTAGTATTGCTGGAAGGTTGTGGGTCTTTCTTTTCCATGAGAATTTCTTTGGTTTTCATGTTCTGCGCAGGTGTGAAATAGCACCCTAGATTGAGGTTATTGTGAGTTACCTATAACATATTTGAGATTAGTTAAGTATAGTGTTCATATGAATATGTTTCCATTAATTAAGGTTTTTAGTTGAGATAAAAAAGTCAGTTTCACGAGTGGGATTCAAACCCACGACCTTCGGCTTGATACGTTGCTCATATGAAAATGAGCAGATCATATGTTGGGATAGGTTTGGTGTGCAAAATGTGCATACGTTTTAATGTAGCAAATTTATTGTTTTGAGTAGAGGTTTTCCACTCCTTTATCATTTACCATAATTTTAAGGAGTTTAATCATCTGAAATTCTACTCAAATACCTCATCATCTAAATTATAATATCCCCATTGCTCTATTTGACTATTTTTCATTTGATGGGCTCCTCTGGAAGGTTGTTTGTCTTCCTTCTTCTGTCATTGATTTTCATTCTCATGTTATATTACTGTTTTGTCTACAACATAAACACCCAAGGTAATATTGAATTTTTCTAAAATGGTACTGTGGTGCTAAAGTTATATTTACCATAAAACTAAGTCATGTGGAATATAGGTAGGTTTAGGTTAAGATTTAAATTACATATAAATTGGAGGAAAATAAGAAAATATGAAGTAGAAATGAGATGGTGAAACTACAGTTCAGATTAAAAGATATTAGGTTAAATATCAACTGAAAGCCTTGAAAAGCTTGGTGTGTAGCAGTAAAATAACAGACTGAGTGTACTGTGGGTTTCCCAAGTATGATTGAAGTAAAATATAAAGTATCATGAGCACTTACGGGAGCATTGAATATTTTCAAAATTTATTTTAATATTTAATAACACTAATTCAGAATAGTAGGTAACTTTTTAAAGATTTTTTTTTTTCATATATACGCTATAAATATGTGTTGTAGGATTTTCCAACAGCATGGTGGAAAACTCAAGATGCTGATGTTCCTTTACGCACAGTGAAAACGTTGTTGCACTCAATGGTTCGAATTCGAGGGCTGGAAGTCAAAGAAACGTTGAAGAATATCCCATCAATATCATCTGAATCTGAACTCGTGTGTTATGTCAAAAAGTTGATCAGGGTAAAATAATAGTTACCTCGCTGTTCATACTCAATAGTGAATTTTATTATGGGTATTTTTTCATTTATACAATTTCAGCGTCTTAAGATTGATGAAAGTGTTGAAGGAACGGCATCTCCACAACGAAGTTATTCTATCACTTCATCGAAAGAGAATGATTCAAATACCCAGAACACACATACTACCAATGTCTCGACTCCTCACAGGATACCGAAAGAAATCCAGGAGGAGCTTTCGGAAATATTCAAAATGCTTGGAGACACAGAATTGACACAGGAGGGTATAAAACGTCTCTTTATTGTCCAGAAAACACATCCGGAATCAGTGCAACAGTGTATAGCTAAAACTACTCCAGTATTTCAACAGTACATTATGAGGGGCCTGGCATCACTCGAACAACAACAGTACGATCAAGCTAACAGTAACCGTGTTTACAACAGGAAATCATTTGGTAAATAATGTTTTTTAAATTATTATGTTACAATAGTGCTAGAGCACTACAAACTCACTAAGGGGGAAATAATAAGGCAATTAGTGCTTTAGGTGTTATGAATGGTTTGGTATGGAAGGTGTTGGACTAGGAGGTTAGGATGAGGGTCTAGGATTTTTAGAATAAATAGGATTTGAATTCCGTAAGGTTAGATATGAATTAGAAAGTTTAGGGATTGGTTCAAAGGATTTTGGACTGGAAATTCTTTGGTGGTTAGAAGACTTGGTTGAACCTCATAGTTCAATTTCGCCAAGATCAGTTGTAGTAGTAATGTCTTCAGCTGTTTATTTCATAGTGAAAGTTTCTGATTTTAAGTAGTCTGATTAGTGTATATTGTTTTTTCAGATCTACTATTTTGTGTGAGTCTGGGATTTCCAAGTAAGTTTTTTGTCAATGTAATGTCTGAAATAGCAAACAACATTGGGAATAGATGAGGAGAGGTGAAATCGTGAAAGTTATTTGCTAGGATTTGGCGAGCTTAGTAATAGTGAGAGGAGAGGTGAAGAGTGAAGGTTAATGGCTGGGATTTGGCTTCATTGAGCCTGATAATCGATGGGAGGGGAGGGGAGGTACGGTGAAGGTTATTTGTTGGGATCCATATTCTTGAACCATTATAAACAATAATCCTGGAAGTTTCTGAAAAACTGCTGGATCTTGGTTTGCTGAAAGGTTTATTCTGTGTATGTGATGGTATGTATCAGGATTGTTTGGAATGTCTGCAATGTATACTGAATAAAGAATGGGACCAAGGATGTTGCCTTGTGGAACGCCTGTTTTAACATAATGAAGGATGTTCAGATTATTAAAAGTGCCTAATGGACAGACAGTTTAGGATGAGGTAATAAGTGAAAGGAAGGATTGAGTTTCCAGAGCAAGCCTAAGTGTACCTACGAAGGCCACCTCTTCTCTAGGTATGCACCCGAGCAACATTGGTAAAATGATGTATGTTGCACGGCCTCGATTTGATGGAATAAAACTGGAGCGTTCTAGGATGGGAAGATGCTTCAGGAGGCTTTCCAGGAATTTGACAAGTAATGGCATCTGATTGAGTGATATGACACAGGAAGATGGTTTTTAAGATTTAGGATAGGGTTTTATGATGAATAATTTCCATTGTGGTTCTGAGATTTGAGTTGTAAATTGAAAGGATTGGAAAGAAAATTGTGGCTGGTAAGGTACTAGATTATTGGAAGGTGATTGATGAATTTGACTTCTCACAAAGTGGAATTAAAACTTAAAATTTTTCTATTTAAATTAGTAATACACTTTAAATACCCATTTAAATATTTTAGCCGACCCTATGGATCATAATAAGCAAGAAAACGCTCACACATTGAATAAGAAACAATTCAGCAAAGAAGCTGAGAGATTGTGGAACAGACTCCATCATTTACAAGAGAAAGCTGGTTGTCATGTGGAAAAACAAAATGAAGAAACAAAAGAAAGCACTAAAGAAAAGACTGTGTCCCATGTATGTACATTTTCTAATGAACAAAATAATTGTAATGTTGTAATAGAAAACTACATTTTCTGATGTGTCATGATTGCTATGCATTGTGTAATTTTTTTTTCCCCCAGGAGGCTTGTGAAACCAGCGATGTTGAACTTCAATCTCTTAGAGATAGACTGGAAATGATAAAAACCAACATGGGTTAAAGGGCAATTGTTTTAAGTTATTGTGTTCTCTCCATCGTTATGTTTAAAAAAAAGTTAGTCCTACATTAACGATATTATAATTTTTTGTAATGGTTTATTTTTTAAAAGTAATTATTATTAACAGACTTTTTTTTACAATTACATTTTTGATAAGAACATTAAACTTTTAGATGTAAATAATTGTATTTTCTGTTGTATAAAAAGTATTTGTGTAAAATATTGCAGCCCACGATGACCTTAAATAATTAATGTTAAGTAGAATAACTGAGAAATTATTTATTTATTGGCATTGTAGTTTAGCAATTGTGCTGTGGTACAAGAATACTCATTAATTCCATCCTTCATTTGTAACAGGCCCTTTTGTTGTCAAAAATTGTCATTATGTTAATAGGCAATTTGTTATAATTAATATGTAAAAATTTAGACTGATTCATAAATTATATTGCCAGTTTAATTGTAAATTTTCACAGTGTTAATGTTTTATTTTAAAAACTATTTTTACCCAAAAAATAAATTATATTAATTGACCTCTCTTTACTTGTATTCCTCTGTTTTTATTTATAAAGCTGTGTTTATTAGGTGAAGACTGTTTTATAAAGATTAGAGATTATACATAAAATGATCATCTCGTCATCTGGTAGAAGTTAAATATAATTTTAAAAAAAGAGAAGTGAACTTGGAAGAACGTAGCCCAAGCAGAGAGACCATTCTGATTAAAAAGTTAGATTAAGTTACAGAACATTTTGACTAAGAAATTAGGTCAGGTTAACTTAAGGACCATTCTCACTAAAAAGTTAGGATAGGCTAATCTAGGGACCATTCTGATTAACAATTTAGGTTAACCTAGTGATTATTCTCACTAAGAAATTAGGTTAGGTTAACTTAGAAATCATTCACAGTAAGATATTTAACCTAGGTTAATTATAGGGACCATTATGATTAAGAAGTTATTAAGTTACAGGACAGTCTGACTAAGAAGTTAGGTAATGTTAGCTTATATACTATTCTCACTAAAAAGTTAAGATAGGCTAACCTAGGACCATTTTGATTAACAAGTTAGGTTAACTTAGGGATCATTTTCACTAAGAAGTTAGGTTAGGTTAATATAGAGACCATTCTGATTAGTAAGTTAGATTAAGTTACAGATCATAATGCCTAAGAAGTTATGATAAACAAATCTAGGGAACAATCTGATTAAGGAAACTAAGTTCAGTTTGAAGAAGTTCTGACTTATACAAGACTACTGAGACCACTTAGGACATACGGAGTGGAATTGTGGGGTTCTGCCAAGACATCCAACATCCAGCGCATCCATTCCTTTCATTCCTCAAGTCCTCAGACAAATCGTCAATGCTCTTTAGAACATTACTAACCTTTTGGTCTACTGCTCAAGCCCTCTCCCTCTCTAAACATTCCCATCCTAAGAACCCGTCACATGATCTTAATTAACGATGTCCTTGAGACCTTGCCCCTTAATCCCTCACTACCAGTACTGGAGTATGAGCATTTGTTAGTTTCTCATGGCAAGTGTCCTCCAGGTCCAAGGCTGGCATTAGTGTTAGTGCTGTGAATTCATCAAGTACGGTCATACGTTTTCCATTATGAATACCTCAATTGGCCTTATCTCTCTTTTACTACAAATGTGTAAGATTTAAGATTTTTCTGTAATGAATTCTAAGACGATTCTCAACCGACCATTTTTCGATTAAATACATGCGTTGATATGCTTTAAAGTTAAGTTTGTGCTCTGTACCAGAATAACGGGAAGTAGATTGTCCATAAAAGCAGTTGAACTCATTCCAGAAACGCAATGTCCCAAAGTTAATTGCACTTAATCTTCCAGTATAGCCTGGTCCACTGTATGAGCCCTGGGGAACCTTTTTTACCAGCCTTTTTACCATCGTGCTTAGAAGCAATGAATCTATCTGTTCACTACAGTCTTATTACAGTTTAAATACATTATGGGTAGTATTTCACTAATTGGGAGGGGATGGACATCTGACTTCATCCTCTGAAATTATTTGTATTTGATTATTCATGGCGGTTTTCGTAGCTATACCTTGTTTGCCATTAGTCCATGAACTGTTCCTGCGGTGTGTATCCATACTGGGCATTATACATTATTTTTGGTTTGTTAAGCCAAACTGGAAAACTATTTATGAGCAGTTATTCTAAATTTTCTCCAGCGATAGTGAGGAGGCCGATAGGCCTATATTTGGATGCTTCTTGTTTTTTTTACTCGTTTTATCTATCATATATGATTTCTTCCAGGCCTTTGGAAAGCATCTCTTCTCTAAGGAAGCGTGAAAAATCTCTAGTATATCCTTATCCCATCCGGTCCTGGAGACAAAATGGACAAAATATTGAAATTATATTTTCATAAGCTATAAATTTCTCAATATACTGGAATGAAGATTTTTCAGAGAAAAAGCGAGAATATACGTTAAAACTTGATATTTGAAGAAAAGATCTGAAAATAAGTATATAATAAAATTAAAAGTGATTTTTTCCCAATGGCTTTGAACGTAGCGCCGTTCCCCCCCCCACAACCACCACCTCGAAAATTTCCCCTTATCCTCAGCAATGGAGCCTTTCTGACCTCGGACGATGAAACGTCGGAAGAGTTTCGGCCAGATTCGGCGGAAATCCCGCGTCGCTCCTTCCACCAGGTGATTAAACTTCCAGGCCGCCAGTGGAAGGCAGTTGTTTCCCGTGGCGGCAACCCAGGACATCGCGTCTCAAGGTGCGTTACTACTATTTTATTTTTATCTTTTTTAGTTATCACGTACTTCGTACATGTCGCACACCCGTGCTGACTCATCCGCGTGCTGACTCCTTTGGTCCGGGACGACAAATACAAACGTTCAACCAAAAACTCGTTTCCCAAATCAATATTTTTTATAAGTTTTTATAACGATAAAAAGCCTAAATTTACGTGAAAAAAGAGGAAATATTGCAATAGATCAACTTTCAGTTTGGGTTGGATAAATCCATTGTAGCCACAACACGCTAAAATCGTTTTTTGTACATCTTTTCGTCCATATAAATAGAAATTACCAACTAATTCCTAGATATATAATAATCGACCTAGGAAATTTAAATTCGAGCTGTTTAAAAAATGACAAAAAATACTTAGGAAAAATTCTTAAACTTTTAAATTCATAACGTATATAACGACTATCACCCCAGCTGATCGATACCTGTTATCAGAACACCAGCTGGAATTTTTTTGGGGGGGTTCCAATTTTTACTGTAGTAACAAGTTTACCAAATTTAAGGACAGGTGCAAAAAATTTAATAAGATTAAATATAAATAATTTCCATTATTTTCATCGTTTCTCAATCGGGACAGTAGAGAAGGATCGTACCAAATACTGGTAGGGGAGGGGGTCCAGGAATACAGATGGCCCGGGGGTGATGTATAGAATCCCATGCATAAAAATTAAGCCGAGATTTTTATTTATTTAAGTCTAAAAACTGTTTACACAGCGAAATAAACAGTTCAGCTTCTGTGGGATATGAATCCATCAATGAGCATCTTAGGATAAAAAGAAAATGAAGGAAGAATGGAATTCATTCATCGGGCATAAACAATCCAAGCAAACAAACTTTATTAGGAAAGAGGTACCAGAATATTAAAGGTAGTAGTAAAAAAAGCAGATGCTACAAAGAAGCAGAACAGACACCATCACAACTCGTAACAAACTTTGTAAGGAAAGAGGTAATAGAATGAATTAAAGGAAGCAGGACAAACTGAGAATCTTAACAGGATGCAGCAAACAAAATGCACATCTGAAGAAGATTGGCATAACCGAACACGGCACATGCAGTTTCTGCAAAGAAGCAGAGTAGACACCATCACACCAACTAACAAACTTAGTAAGGAAAGAGGTAGCAGATTGTATTAAAGGAAGCAGGAAAAAACTGCAAATCCTAGGAGGATTCTCTTAGCAGGACGCTGCGAACTAGATGAGGAAGATTAGCATAACCCAACACGGCGCGTGCAGATTCTGCAAAGAAGCAGAAGATACACCAACACGCCTACTAACAGACTGTAGTGCTACTGTTGCCCGCAGGAGGCGTACAACATAACCGTATAAGAGATCAACCATTGAAACCGGGCCTACTGGGGGTAGGTCTGTGATGAATTAGGATTTCCTCGATTTGCTTTAAGCACAGAACGGGGGATACAATAGCTCTTAAATGGCGCAGTGTAATACACACCCCGACGAATACATTTATCTAAACAAATAGTTGCAAAGCTATGGAAAAATGGGTCAGCAACAATGAAGATTTCATTATTTATTCAGAACCAAGAGATGCAGGAGATCCATTGGTGAAACAGAACATAAAAAACATTACAATGTGCGTCTTGAAACATTTTAAATTAAAGGAGATTACATTCACTAAAAACTACCAGGTCTTTTTTTTTTGTCAAAAGCTATCTGCACAGGTTTGTTTCTGCTGCTCCGAGTTTATAACTTCGGAGTCTGATGTGTCCAGTCAGGAGTCCTACTATACCTACTCGTCCTAGATTTAGCAGTTCTGGCGTTAGTTTCGGCGATGGTACTTTACTGAACTTTTTCGCATGACTATGCCCATAAGTACATTCTTAACTCATAGTCTGACGGATCTATGTTTTTGTTTGTTTCTTTTGTTTCAGAGTGTCCAGTCAGTAGTCCTGGTATAAATTCTAGACCTAACACCTAGGTTAGTCTAATAAACGTTTTCCCCATGCCCCTATCCTGGAAGGCATTCCATTAGAACCAAGGACTTAATCTTAACCTGTGTTCGAATGACTATGTTTTTGGCTTGTTTTTGCTGTTCCAGTCAGTAGTCCTGGTATAATTCTAGTCTTAACACGACCTAGGTTTAGTCTAACGAACTTTTTCCGCCATGTGTTCCTCGGGGTAACGTTCTGGCCCCCACACTTTACAGCTGACATCCCATCCGATCAAACACACCGATTCGAGCAACTCTGTTCCTGTCGTCCACTCGAAACCAACACCTCACACTACTGGCGTCTCGGTGTGCTAAAACAAACAAAATCTTGATCAGAAAATCCAATGACGCAGTTCTTTCATGAACGTGCCTTCAAGTCTGCATAGTCACATCTAACGCTATTTGACAAAAAAAGATACGAAAAAAACGCGACGTGAATGGGACTGTTATCAAACTGTTATGATTATGCAACGAGCTATCGCACATTCTCAATCACAACAAAAGACCTCATTTTTTTTCCAGAATATAAACGTCTATTTAAAAAACAATAGTGCAAATATTTCAGTCTGAAACAGTTGTAAACTATAGCTATATTGAAAGGGCCGCTCTTCTTGTAATTTTATCGACTGTGTTCTGCATTGATAAAAAGAAAAAAGTTTTAAAACGAGCGTGTTGTCATTTTGACAATGGTACCATCTCAATACCTGATTGATAATTTAACCCTTTTTTTATTACATTTTTTTAATCAAAATAAAGAAGAAACGTAAAGGAAAAATTGTATTTTGTAATATTATGCAAAGTTTCATAGAATTGAAAGTTTAGAAATAAAAACAGTTTAAAATTTAGAAATATTGTATGAGTGCTTGAAATATGCACAAATTTATTTAAATAAAGACACAACTTGAATTGATTTATTTCCGAAATTTTTGACATTTATCAATGTCCGGCTTTGTTCAAAATTTAGGTGTCTCGAGCCAATTTGAGTAAACGATTTTTCTTGTCGATTTTCAGCGGTCTGCTAGAAACTAATTCAAATATTTCGATTTTTGATCGTAGAAGTCGCGATCGCCTGTTCAGTCCCCACCGCCGACCCTGGAATATTTTTTTCCTTTAAATATATATTTATTATTCCTTCCCAGTCTCGGTCATTCGTCTTCACGTTCTCGCTTCTCGAGGTTCTCAGAGCTGAGCAGCTTTCACAAGGTTAGACTATAACTCTTTACTCTTAACGATTTACTTTGTTTGAAGAGGGAGGGAAAAGCTCACATCCTATCAATTTATTAAAGGATTTCTTCTTTTCTGTCGTAAAAACAGCTTATCTCAAAAGGAGGAATTATTTTGTTCAAATTTAACCCTTTATCTTCTCTGTTCCGATTGGCAGTTTCGTCGGGCCAATTATAATATAATTAATACTGAGTTTTTGTTTTTTTAAATTTTGACATTCTACAAAGATAATATTTTTTTCTGTCACAATTTGCGTATGTATCCTTTACGTTGAACCTTTTTTTCCGTACTCCAGTAAGCGAACCAGTCGGCCCATTCTTCTGGTGAATTTTTCACACGGATGTCGACCTCTTGTGTTACGCTGCTGTTTACTTGTAATTTTTTTGTAATAACTTTAGTCTGCATGCTCCGTTTAAAATGTTATATGTACATATAAGTTGTTATATAAATATTACCTAAATAAACGTATTTGTCAACATGTAAGATAGTTATATCTTTGGTGAACCAGACTTCCTTCTTCTTTGTTCAAAAATTTGAAGATTGTATCTATTAGCAGTTCAAACTCCTTGCCTGGATTCAGAAGTTGTGCCTTGGTCAAGGGCAAAAACCTTTTGTAAATTTACTGTGGATCAGTAAACTCCTGGTAGGCATTATCTGTTGACACACATACAGGAAGTGATGGCCTGTTTGTGGTGTACGACCGTCGCAGGAACATGTATCACGGGTAGTAAAGTTAAATTTTTTCAAATAGGCACCAAACTTGCCATGTCCGCTTAGAATTTGTCTCAATTTAAAGGACATTCACTAGTTTAAAGGACATTTTTGATCCTTCAAGTTCCTGTCTTGAACGGATGGTAGAAATTCTATGGTCGATCTATTTGTATATATAAAACAGTTCCGTGACTGACTGACAGGCAACAAACAGACCAAACCGCTGGATCTAAAGGGCTGAAATTTCGACAGTGCATTACTACATATAGCCGTTAAGAAAGGATTTTTGGAAATTCCATTCCTAAGGGGATCATAGGGACATTTTTTTGCCATATATAGACCGAAGTGAACTGAAGAAGAGAATAATTTGAGAAACGGGACATTACAGTAGAAAACGATACTAGAACTCTGCATCGCATTACAACGGCCTGTCCCGCGTGGACGAAGTCGCGTGAAAAAGCTAGCCTTCCTCTATTCGACGACTGCCAATTTCGATCCCATTCCTCCCTGGTGGATGTCTCCAGTTTAGACATTAAGTGAGAAAGTAGGAAGAAGGTGGTATATGATAGGTAGGTATTTTTATGCAGCTAGACCATCGGCCGTTTCATATACCAGTAATTCTTCATGAGCTATCACCCATTTCAACACTCTTCCCTTTCCTAACAGTCTTTTTGATTAGATTTCTAATAATCTCCACAAGTGGCATATGGTTATCGTGGTTGGCGATGGAGTGATCGTAGAGTCTGATTATTTAGAAAATTTACTACATGTCCCGCTTGATTGAGCATCTTCCGTCAAGTTTATGCCCCTTACTAGTTAAGCATTTACCGAATGCAAAGTTACAAATCTTATCTGCTTGTTTACTACCGTCCGTGTAGATTCCACCGTCAAGACGAGCGGATTCAATGTCCTGTATCTTCATTACTTCATGAATAATGAACTTGCGTTTCGTAATCTGCAGGGTCATTCCATTCTGCAGTAGTTTTCAATCCTAAACCGTTCATTTTAGCTATGACGTAAGGGATGAGTCGATAGCCTGCCCCTTGCTGTGCGGATGGCCATCAACCGTTCTACTCTATTCATTTTAATTTGGTTATATTCTCCTTTACTTCTATCTTTCCAAATTGGTATTGAATATAAAAACATGATAAGGGATGCCACAGGATATATGGTACGAAGAGCTTGATGAGTTGAACCCCAGTTTACTTTTGCTATTCCTACAAACTATTTACTAATTTGGTCACACGTTGCCGTTATTTGACTATGTGAGCCTTCCATGAAAATTTTTGATCAAAAGTAATTCCTAGGTATTTCAGTTGATCTACTAATTTCAGGATATTTTCTTTAAAAAAATGAATAAAAACTTTTCCTTCCAGACTCTGGGCAAATATAAACATCTCATTTTTGGGGAATGAATTTAAAAAATTCAAAATAATTATGCAAGCCTAAAGACATAAAATACCTAAATTAAAATAGAGGCAAACGTGATAATTATTGTCTTCTTTTATCTCTATATCCATTTATTATCTATTAATAAGCATTAAAAAATAGGAAATATTTTTCTTTCCTTGCTATCTGTTTGATAACGTACTCTGGAGACATTTGACGATGTTTTTTATCTTAACGATTTTTATTGTGACCTTTAAACCCTAAATCTCGTGACATCAGAGCCATTTCAAACCCTCAACTTTACGAGCAAGTAATTGACTCAATTCTATTAAATACATTTTTATGAGGGGAATCTGAAATGTAAGCCGGAAAGCATCTAGGAGGTTATGTGTTTTGACGCTGGTCTTCTTTGAGTTCGTCGACTCTCGCTGGTTGTCTTTCTTTCGTACGTCATTGCTGTTCTTCTCCCGACTAAATTGACATAATTAATTCATTATATTTTTTTCGTTCATTTTTTTATAACAACTGCATAAAAAATGTATTCTAAGTTAATTTAATTAGCAAAAAAACAGAAGAAACACTGCCGGAAAATTGGTAAATATATTGCCCGTGGAAAAAGACGACATTATCTTCAGTTCATAATTTACCATGCTCGTTCTCCAAGCACATCCTGAAGTTTAAACGAAATCCTATAAAAAAATATTCACCTACGAATTTACTCTAAATTTATGTGTATCGAGGTCTATATTGCTCAAGAACGGTTTTCCCAGTTACCATAACATTTTTCTAGCTATTGTAGGACACTTCCATAAAATATGTTCGGTTATGTCTGTCTCCTATAAACTTTGTCGACATCGCAGAAGAAACCTTTTGGCTGTTCTTTATCCCCCGTCATGACATCTGGTCATTCGCCCCGGTGATTCGACGAGACACCCAATGGGATTTCGAAGATACTTGGTTACCGTACTTGTAGATTACAGTTTTTAGGGTATTTATATTGTTCCAGACTTGTTTTGACTTGATCTTGTTGAAGAGCCTTTAGAGCTCCTTTGCTCTGGTAGTATTATTACTGTTGCACAACAGAGATGTTTGTTTTTAATCTAATGTGCATATGCTTCTAAGGCTGGTAGTTCGCCTTGAAAGATGGTTGTGGAACCCAGGGCAATGTGGTACTTTTAGACCCCTTTATGCCCCCACCTTTGGGCCATCTGTGTACCATCGAAGAGCCCCAGATTTTTCTTTTTTTCAGACCTTTTCATAGTCCACCGTCTGATGAACTCTCATTTGTTCAGTCGCTGCCATCCTTTTGATGTATATGATGTCATTTTGAGTATTCGTTTTTTGCAGCTGTGAGTGTTGTTTTAAGAGTGCCAGTGATGCCTTTATTTATTTACTTATCTTTTTAATTAATTTATTTTTTTGCCATCATACATACATGCATATCTGATCATGGATATGACTAGGGTATGGTACGACCTTGGTTATCTTAGGATTTACCAGAAGTATAATACCACCTGGGTGTCCAAGTTTTTTGTTGGTAATACACAGTTTTTTGATCTACCTGGCATAGTGTTCGATAACCACGGTCTCCACTTGGTTGCTTTTTTCCACTGTCCGACGAATTCTCAGTTCCTCAGTATATAAATAAGGCTGGCAGTTTGAGGATACATACATTCCCTTGCTGTTGTGGGTGTTATTTTAAGACAGCACGTGATGTCTTTCTTTGTTCTTTTTTTACCGTCATATCTTGTGTATATGATCATGGGTCTGACTATGGTAAGTTTGAAAATTGTTTACCTTAGGTTTTAGCCGAAGTGTAGTTTTCCTTTGTTGCCACCTGGGTGTCCGAATTTTTTGGTTCTATCTGGCATAGAGTTCGATCCACGGCCTCCGCATGTAATTAGTTGCTTTTTCCATTGTCCGATGAATTCTCAGTTCCTCAGAGGATAAGTAAGTCTAGCAGTTTGAGGGTACGTTTCATTACAGCTATGGTGTTGTTTTAAGATGTTCGATCAAAAGTGATACCTTTCTTTGTTCGTTTTAGGCCCTCATATATAACTTGCATATGTGGTGATGGGTCTGACAGTGATAAAGTGGGAACTTTTATAACAGGATTTTCGCCCTAATAGTTCTACCACATTCATTGTGCCTTTAATTGTCTGTCATGGGTCCTATTGGGGTGTGCAACAATCCGGCAAATCCAACAAAATCATCGGATGTAGAAAAAGAAACACAATTAAGAGTACCATGTTCGTATTATAAATATACAAAAAAAAGTTGATTTCTTTCTTAAACCGTTCCAGTTAGATTTGTGATAGAAGGTCGTTCCAAACTACGGCTCGCCTTATCAATTGGGCGTCGATAGCGTCAACGTCATTTACAATTTAAAAAATAAAAATATTTTATATGTATTCCATTTTTATCTAGCAGATAACCCTTACATCAAGTCAATTTTATTAAGGACTATTACCCAGTTTTTATTGATACAGATTCGTCTACGTTTAGTGACATTGTTCAGTTCGAAGAGGAAAGGATGTTGAGTGGCAGAATGGACCGAATACGTCGATAGATTGATCAATTGTGTCTTGTTTCAGGTAGATTTTTTTTATTCTAATAGTTTTTAAGCTCTATCGGGTAGACAATTGGCCATAAATGTCTGATGTTGAACTAAAGGTTGTATTGTGTCTACGATTATCTTCTTTTCAGTTGTTTTTTCTTTGACTAATTTATCTAAATTACTCATTCTTAACTTTCGTGTTTACAAATCCGAGTGCACGTTAAAATTAATCCGTTCATATCGGGGTTTCTGAAGGCCTTTCACTTTCTTTATGTCAACTTATCTTAACCTGGTTTGCCCAAGTATAGGTTTTTATAAAATTATGTGGATTACCAAAGCTTCCATTAAGCTTTACCACCACGAAATCCTTCCGCCTTCCAAACAGTAGCCAGTGACCATGCAGTGGATCATAACTTTATTTAAGCAGGGGCGCATCCGGTTCAAATCAGACTCTTCGATAAGTTCTCACGTGAAACATGAGGATACACTGGCAAAAACCGTCAGATCAAGTAGCTCTAGAAGCATTCATTACCACGTAAAAAGGTTACACCCAAAATCACCGAAGCCGGAAAAAACTTGACTATCTCGGATCAGGGCAGATAGGCACTGCGAGTAATGACCACCAAACGGACAAACTGGCCAGAGGAAGACTATCATATGCCACAACTTATAATTGGGATAACAAGACTTCCATCTCAGAATGAATCTTAAGAAAACTTTGTCGGGTGATATCTAACCCGCCTTATAGTCCTGACCAGTTATTTCAATGAACGACCTGGTAAAAGAAGGTCAACTGAATAAAATCACCATGAATTCCTTAAAAAATCATTATACGAAGGATGTTCCTTCTCTGTACGGTTGTAGATTGAGCACTCCTCCCTGGAATGGTTTGGACAAGGTTTCGCATTGAGAACTTGTAGTTGCCTGTGAAATGGTTCATCCCGTTTCCATGCTTATGTGCCACTGTCCCGGAAGAGAAGGTACGTGTGGAACTGGTTGCTCTTGATCGATGTCATCTTGTTGATTACAAAACTTTCGTGTATCTTCTTCACACTACACCGAACCGAACGAATCTCCTTGGAGTCGTCCGACACAACAAACCTCTCAGACAGCAGCCTCCACTCTGTCCTGAAAAATATCCTTTCTGAACATCTTGGTCAAGATCTTTGGAGGCGGTCGTCAGAGAATATAGTCCAATGCATCAGCATAGTGAAGAAAACTAGACTTTATGCTACTCACGTGGCAGTCTGCCTCGTCACTTTTAAATTTTAGTATATTTTACTGTGGTCTCTTTCTCCTCCGTACTACGACCTCTTAGGATTCACTGACTAAATGTTGTTTCAGCAGTCCATGGAAATGTTCTTCTCAAATGATACAGCTTGACATCGCACAAGCGTTCGATAAAGTATGGCATGGTCTACCCATGCTCAAGGTCATCCTTCTGAACATCTTAACCTTAACAAGAGATACTTTCAGGTTTGCTAGGGACCCAGTTCTGGGGTAACGCTGGTGTCCCACTAGGTTTTTTGTTACTAGGTCGTGTAGTGACTCAGAAGTAGTTGTAGAGCTGTGCAGTTCTGTGCGTTGCCATGAGAACACATGGTGCGTGTCGATTTACATAAAAATGAGACCATCAGTCTAAGACTTGGATTAGGTCAAGGACTTCCTGTAAGCTGACCCTCGGTTTTTCTCCATTTGCATACTGCACAAACTTGAATTTGAAAGTTGATTGACTGATCTGAAAGCTGAAACTTTATTTGAATTTTGACAGTAAAACTAAAACCGTGATATAAAAAAAATCGTTTAATTCGTTATTGGTACCGTTTTAACCCTTTACTGTAGTTGAATTTTTATTTTATATACACAAATGGCAAAATACAAACAGTCTTTGTTTGACATTCCTTAACGAAAATGATGTAATCGGTGGGGATGGATTGGTAGAAAGGGAGCATCGGATATTTTCCGTAAGAACTTGGTCTGAAAGTCAGTTACTCCTTGGTGAAGGAAAACCGACCGAAGAAAATCGTCCTGAATTCCTTAAAACAAAGGGCAAATGAACAGCTTTTTCTCTCCGTGCGGTTACTGATTTGTTGAAATCGACTCTTTTCAGAGGTTCTTGGATTTTTGGGTCAAGATTTAACATAATATTGCAGCGTTTAGTTGTGAACCTCAATGTTCTAAATTTTATGCCAGTATTTGCTATATTCCAGTATTGTATCCGGTACTGCAGTTTTGTTTGCTTTCTTTCTTAATCCTCTTCCTTTATTAATTCAGTGTTTACAAATATAGTTGTCATTCATACCGAATTAAAGCTCTTTTATTCCTTTTACTTCGTCAGTCATTGGTTTTCTTTCATTTATGAAACTTCTCTGAGGGATAAATTATTATCAACAACCTCACCGGAATTACGCATATTTTTCGGTATGAATTTACACTTGGCCATACCGCTGCGTAACGTCAAATAAGCCTTTTGGTGAGGAATCTGCGAATGAAAGGACTGTTTACCGGTGGTTTTGAAGGTTTCGGAGTAGCAATTTTGAACTTGACAGCGAGGGACGAGGTAGGCCGGAAACCGAACTGGATATTCACCAGCTGAGTTGGGTCTTGCCCCTCAAAAAGCACTAGGAAATATGCAAAAGAACAATGGTCTGAACCACAGAAAGGCAAACTACGACATTTGTTCTTCGCTATTGCTGCCAAATTCACAATGAACCATTTTTGAACCGGGTTCTCACTTGTGACGAAAAGTGGGTCCTTTTACGGCAATCAGCTCAATGATAGAGATGAATCGCCAAAGAAGATGGCAAAGTCAAGCCTGCATCCAAAAAAAATTATGCTGGCTCATTAGTGGGGAATGGGTGGTTTTATCCAATTTAATAACAATCTCGGCAAACTTGTATTGCCAAGAGTTAGACATTTTTTTACCAGAAACTCCGAGAAAAACATCCAAGTTTGGTCAATAGAAAGGGACCTATCCACGACAATGCTCGTCCTCAGGTTTCCAGATTAACAATGCATAAACTTCAAGACTTAAAAATTAAACCTACCATACTCACCTGGCTTATGGCCGACTGACTACCATCTTTTTTGTGCTCTGGACCGTTTTCTAAGAAATAAATTTTTTCAAATTAGAGATGCTCTCAAAACAGCAATCGAAGAATTCCTTACATCTCGAACTCCAAACTTCTACGAGGAGGTGATAAAAAAAGCTTACAGCACTTTGGGAGAAGTGTATAGATGGCAGTGTGATTGATTCATCGAAGTGTAAAAATTAAATATTTAATTTTCCACTCTTCCAGCAAGGAAGGGTTTGAAAATTTCTGTAGGAGATGACTGGTCATCGTCGAAAGTTGTAACTATTGGGGTGATGGATATCGTGGGGGTTAATTGAATATAGGTTAGGGTCTAGGAGATCCGCTAGGTCGAAGTCACTTCAAGTAGTAAGTTTGACTATGCTTCCGCCTTTCATACAGAAGACGGTTTAAAGCGGCCCAAGGCCTTAACCAACTCGACTACATATCAATGCAACCATCGTCCTGCCTACCCAACCCATTTCAGGGAAGAGTGCTAAATCTGCAACCACATGGAGAGGAAACCCACATCATTTGTCATCGGAAGGACGACTTTTAACAACGGTAGACCAGGCCATACTTTATCAAACACTTGCGCGACGTCATGCTGTATTATTTGAGAAGAAAATTTAGATAAACTGCTGAAATAACATTTAGTCCGTGGATATCTTAAGAGTACGTAGTATATACTAAAATTTAAAAGTGATGAGGCAGACTGCCACGTGAATGACATAAAGCCTAGTTTTCTTCACTATGCTGATGCACTGGATTTTATTTAATGACGACTGCCTCCAATGATCTTGACCAAGGTGTTCAGAAAGGATATTTTTCAGGACAGAGTGGAGGCTGCTGTCTGAGAGGTTTGTTGCGTGTGGTGTTTGGAGTAATGCTATTCCGAGATGTAGGAGTATATGTTTAATTTTGTTATTCCAACCATAATTCCTAGACTATATGGTCTTGCAGATCTTCCTTACCATTACTTTGGGCCCTGGTACCCTAGATCTGGTTGTTGTTGTCCCAGGTTTTGGATGTGACCTTTTTACAGACTAATGCTTTTACAACTGCTTGGCTATCTGTTCTGAGGATTTTTTTTTAGTTAGTGTAACCTCATGTTCAATGCAGTTTGAGACATTGAGGTTATTTGATTTATTTTCCCAACGTTCCATATTCGTATAATTAACCTGCGCACGTATTTATGTCGAGGTTATGCCAAAAGGTGAACCCTTACACCGCACATTATCGCCCCATATGTTCACAACCTTCAATTATTCCTATTGAAAATATAATAATTTAAAAAAGGATTTGCCTTAATAATCGAAATTGTGAAGTTAATTTATCATAAACTTCAGTGCCTTATTATTTATGATATTGATCCGTATTAATCCCTTGCTTATCTTATCGAATACCTCTTAATCCTTCCACATTAAACGGGAATAAGACGTGTTTAATTTAATTAATTAATCATTCTGGAATGCTCCGTGGCCTGTCAATATTTGGATTATCCAATAATCCGTTAGAACCCAAGTAAAGACAATCCTCTGTTTTACATTTGGAAAATATACGTAAAAATGCCATTTAAACAATTCTGCTTTATCTTGTAGCTTCTTTCAGAGTCGCGTATGTGAGCGATTCTACCTCATCCACTTCAAGATTATCTTGTTTAATGTCTAGTCCTTTTTTTTCTCTGATAGAGTGCTACTTTTGTTCTTGTTGATTCCCCCCCCCCCATCTGAGCATCCGAGCACCTAATAAGTGACGTACGCCTCGACTTTAAAAAAAAGAGTAAGTGGAAAAAGTTATGAACTTAGTGGACCCCAAGGAGAATATCGCCTTCCAAGCGAGACGTGACTCGTTCCGATGAAAACCTCGAGGAAATGGTTGAGCAATTTCCCTCGAAAAGAAAAACGAAAAAACTGTCAGAAACGGCAAGGGCACTGTGTCCAACGGAACGCCACTCCGATAAACA